TCTTTTTATCTTTTTGGAGACAGGGTCTTGCTGTGTAGTTCAGGCTGACCTTGAACTTACTATGCAGCACAGGCTGGCTTTGAGCTCATGGCAATCCTCCTGCCTCAGCCTCCTGTGTGCTGGGACCACAGGCATGCACCACCACATCTGGCTGTCGTTTTCTTATTTTAAAGGGATTGAAGTTCTCAAATTGTGAAAAAAGTATTCTTACATGTACTGCATATAAACACTTCAAGTCCATTACATCTTTTCTCAGAGGGTTTGTGATCAAGGACTCACGGGTAGACATGGGCCTGGGTGCTGTGACCTCTTCGTCAGAATGAGCACTTTGGCTAGACTTAAGGCATGGTCGTTATTTTATTTTCAACATTTCTTTTCAGATGAGACAGACAGACCAGGATGTGATCACAGCTCTGACACATAGACCTTGGAGCCTGAGCCACACAGGAGATGGGAAACCCCGCTACGACACCTTCTGGAAGCAGTCCGTGTTTGTGGTAATGGACATCCTGCTCGATTGGAGCATGCATAATATCTTGTGGTACCTGTGTGGGATTTCAGCTTTCCTCATGCAAAAGGATTTTGTATCCCCGTAAGTTGGAAGATTTCTTTCTTTTCCCGATACATTTCCTGAATGCTCTTTCTAGAAAGAAGCCGTTAAGGGTGTGGACAGGGATCGGCTCTGACCTGTAAGTCCCACTGTGCCCGTTAAGTTGGAATATCACCTTTCTCAGGAAGAAGAGTTCAGGCGTATCTTGCTGATTGAAAATAGATTAATGAGCTATTCTTGGTTTTGTAGTACATTTTAAAGAAAAGAAGGGGAAGGGATTGCATTCTTCTGGTTGGCTTCTGTTGAGAACCCACGGGATCCAGGGCGGAGCTGCAGGAAAGCTGTTGGATGGAGGGACGTCAGTCCTGCTCCTGCTCCCTTCTACATTGCGGGCTCTGCTCTCCTTCCAAGAAACTGTCCATTCCCTAACCAGCTAGCCGTCTTCGACTCTTTCATTGGGCAGTTTTAGAGCTATGTATTTCAGCTGGCTAGAGTTACAAGTGTCTTAGGATTTCGAGCATGCATGCAATCAGTTCAGTGTGCATGTAGCTACCACCTACAGTACTGCAAGGTGTACCGTGTTAAGGAGCCGCAGATGCAGTGGTGAAAAAGCAAAAACCATGGTCTCTACTCGTGGAATTACAATCAAGTGGGACAGAGATGCGAATACAAAAATTGAAGGCATAGATACAGCTAAGCTGTGTTTAGGAGGGAACAGTGTGCATGGGCCTTGGGACCCGACCTGCGTCTGGGGGTCAGGGAAGGATGGATCCCGAAGGAAGCGACAGCCAGAAAAGGTCCTGTTCTGCTGCCACCTGAGAGAACCAGAAACGGGAGAGACAGGGCGATGGGAGAAGAGAAGTGTTATTAGCAACAAGCTGGCACGCTGGAGAGTGGACAGCTCGTGCTTCTGTCCGTCCTGCATGGTGCTGCCAAGAGACAGGTGGGCATCGGGGTAGTTTGTTAACCTTCAAAAGTGTCCATTTGTGAATGTGAGTCGGTAGCATCTTATCACAGATCAAAGGTTACTAAGTTGTCCTAGACTTGTGAATCTAAGAGGATTGTTTAGAGGCTTGCTGTTTGCAAGTTTGTCTGGTTTCTGGTTTCCAGCCAGTCTGCACACCGTCCCCCCCAACCCCCCACCTCAGGGCTTTTGTGCTGAGCTACATCGCCAGACTTTTCATTTTCTTTAATTATTTTGAGATGAGGCTAAACTGCCCAGAACTTGTAATCCTCCTGCCTCAGCCTCCCACTGTGCTGGGGTTTTAGGAATGTGCCACTGCACTCTGGTTTATATATTTTTTGACAACTACCTTCTCCCCGACATCCCACAGTATTGGGGATTGAACCCAGTTCTTCCACACTTAGCTGTATCTTCAAACGCCTGGCATTTTTTTTTTCTTTCCGAGACAACGTCCTGCCAAATCACTTAAGTTGCCTCAGCCTCCCCGAGTGTTGGGATTATAGGCACATGCCAGCATGCCCAACAACTACCTTTTAATCGTGACCTTTCCTGTGTCAGAACAGGGCATCGTAACTACTTCTACAGTTAGCCATTCAGATATGGAGTAGGGTAGAGGGAGAAAACAAAGTTATCTCCTAAATTGAGAATGGGAAAGGTAAGAGAAAACTTTAACTTGGGGCGTGTCTTCATGAATCTCAGATATGAAGGGTGTGGGCAACAGAGGAGGGGAAAACACCAGCAAAGTGTTGTGGCCAAAGGAGAACAGTTCTCACAAGGGACTCAAAGAGAATCAGTATTCTATGACAAGAAAGGAGTGGAACAGTGTGAGAGCTGTGTCAAGGACATGAGGGAGTGAGCCACTGGGGACGGCGGCCGGCTGGCGTGGGACACACCTGACTGCAGGGCGGGTCGGCGCGGGGCTCCCCCGGTGCTGCTGGTACTCAGTGCACACCGTACCCAGCAACCAGTGTAGACCGTGGGCACAACCGTCATCCTTCTAACAGGCTTGGTTTTTCCTTTCTCCAGGGACTATTTGAAGAAGTGGTCAGCTAAGGGGGTCCACGTTGTTGGTTGGACTGTCAATACCTTTGAGGAGAAAAATTACTATGAATCCCATCTTGGCTCCAGCTACATCACGGACAGCATGCTGGAGGACTGTGAACCTCATTTCTAGACTTTCACCCTGGGGAGGAAACACAGGTTCAGAAACTGCCCCTTGGCCTCATGCAGGGATATCACAGCACTCTTTGTGCTAGTCCACCCCTGGGGGGTCAGTGGTTCACGCAAGCAGTAGCCAGTAATTGCATTCTTATCTGAATAAACCCAAAGCAGGTGTTGCTGCCAGGCTTCATGGAATGCCTGAGTTCATCACTGTCGCTCTTGAAAATCTAGGTCTGAGAAAGGCACCCCAGCCCCGCCAGCTCAGCCAAGGCGACCCCGAGACCCGGTGAGGACAAGCGCGGAGTGGGTTGTGCAGTTGGGGACTGCAGATGCAAGTGCATGGGACTCGCATGATCACTTGGAGTTGACATTTTAAAACTTGCCATACTTAAGCAAGGTACTTATTTCTAGTATTTGTATTCAGCTCTGGTAACAGTGTCCTGTAGATGTCCAACTTGGGTGCACACTAATAAAATCATTAAAAGGAGTGTGAAAAGAAAATGCGTATCAAGCTCCATCCTCCCTAAAGCTAGGAATCTGGGAAGGTGTGTTGTGCAAAGCGGCGAGGCCTCTGTGCTGCAACCACAAAGGGAGGGGAGGGTGTTGGAACCTAGCTGAGGGATTACGAGTTGTCTTGAAGGAAGAGCTACAAACCACCAGGGGGCAGCAGAGTTGCGCTTTTGCTTTATTAGGAAGCTTCACAATAGCACTGCAGACAATCAGAACTGGAAGAAACTTCCAGGAGCTCCTTAGCTTAGCCTCATTTTACAGATGAGACTACTAGGACTTGTGGGTAAAGAGGGGCAGCCTCCAAAACCACACAGGGGGCAGTGTAGCAGGGCTTGGTCTCATAATAACAACTTGGCTGCTGTAGGCCAGGAACTACACAAGGGTTTAGAACAATCTTACTCAACCTAACGAAACTGAGGTTCCAAGAGTTAAAGTCACTTACCTGGGGTCTCAGAGTCCACGGTACATTTGGGGCTCAAGTCCACCTGGGTCTGACTCAGAGCTCCTGTTCCTCACCACGCCCCATACCCTCTGTACTCTTTCCCATGTGATCCCGCAAGGCTTCTATCCTGAACTTAAGCAACAGTGTTTGGAATGAAACATTTAAAAGTGGCGGATCTGTCTGCCTCCTCCCTTGGTTACAGGGCCTCACTCAGTCCTGGCTCCCCCGCTGCGTCCCTCAGATGGCTCTTCAGCCTCACCCCTGCAGCAGTAGGCGGGGGCTCTTTGGAAGACACATCGGAGCTGATTTTTGTTACAGTAGCTGTTGGCTGGGGCATGATGGATATAACGGGATATTTTAATTAGGGCCAGGGATTTAGCTCAGTGGTTCCACCACCTGCCTTGCAAGCGTAAGACCCTCGGTGATTCCTGGTACCCAAAAAAAGAAATGTTCTTGTCTGGTTTTTGGTGCTAGGTTTTGAATCCAGAGGCCCGCTCATTCCAAGCATCATGCTGTATCACATGAGCTGCACCTCTAGCCCCCAAAGAGATTTTCTTGAATTTTAAAATTAAATTTATTAAGTGGAACAAATGTCCATGCGTGTACTTCTATGCCATATTGTGACTAAAGTGACAAGAAGTAGGAGAACGAAACCAAGGAGAACATCTGAGGACTGAATTTATCGCTGGGTCCTTTGTGAGACTGAACAGCACACGGCAGCCCAGGATGGCTTTTGGGGACAGTGCAGAGTTAGAGCCCTTCTCTTGGGGGAAGGCCTCGGGAGAGCCAGGAGTTCTCTGCCTGTTGTCCTCCATCCCAAGCCTGCTTTACCCTTGACTCGGCTAGGCCTGAATAAGGACTCAGGTGAAGAATCTGAATGAAAAAGGGAAGTATCAGTAAGGACTATAAGCACTTCCTTGAAAGGCTTGCTGTAATAGGGTTAAAAATATTAATGGACCAATCGCTTCTTGGTCTTTTGGCTAAGATCAAATGTAAAAATATTAATGGACTTGCTGGTTTTAACAACAGTTACAGGCACTGTGAATCAGTTGGCAGTTCTGCAAAAACAGTTACACATACGCATGTACTCCTTTCATATGCACACATCCATTCCACGCATCATGTCTGGTGCAGCGTAGGACTTCATTGATGGTTATATGTATAAAACTTCACAGGGACTGAGTCCCACGCCCCCTCCACCCTGGTCTAACCCCAAAGACACCTGTACTTAATACTCAATAAAGAGACAAGACCTCTGAGTCTAGTTCATTTTGGGGTGACATGAAGATGTTTTTAGTTCAAAGTCACAAACAAATTGAAATTGCACAATTCAAAGGATTTATGTGCCTGATTAAGGATCATGTTTTTATTCACTCTGGACCACTTTTCACAGCACCAGTTTCTAAACCTTTGCCAGATCTGGGAGGAGAGATTGCTAAGGACCAATAATTCAGACACATTTCTCAAAGACAAAGTACATCAGTTTCAGATTATATCTTTCCCACATTTTCTGGGTTAAATTTACCATTTCAACAGTTTACTGGAAAATCCCAATTATGTTGTCTTGAAAACATCAATCCAGGTTTGAAAGGTAGCAGAGCATGCCCAATTTCACTTTGGCATTGATAGTGTGGGTTAGTTTACCACTCCCTGCTAAAGGCTTGGATTCTCTTCCACAAGCTTCTCGAGGCTCAGGTGTCGTGGAAGAATCTGTCCCATCTTAATCTTCTTTCCTTATTGGCTTGATGTCTGTCTGGCCACCACAATAGTCATCAGGCCCTTAAATTATCTTCTTGAGTGGATCGCCTAAATCGCAGGTCTGGGTTTGACACAGGAAAGAGTAGTTAATGCAGACACATACTTCCCCGTTTCCAGGAGGGAAAGACTGGGCCTTAAAGGACCTGTAGCTTCTCGTGCCTTTTTTACCCTGAACTCCCAACACGATGGCAGAAGTAAATGCTATCCCAAAAGTCAGTTACTGAGTTGTTTGGTTTCCTTCCCGGCATTCATTACCCTTCTGGCATCAGCTCCAGATCATCCTTGGGAATCCACCTTTACTTACTCTTCACCTCTGTGGTTCTTTAAGGTGGCCCTACCCCCGTATCTACAGCTGAGACACAATTCAGGTATGACCGAGGAAAGGGACACATTTTCATAGCCGTAGCAATCGGTCCATGGATGAACACCTTGCCCCATCAGATTGAGCGAAACACTGAAAATTCTAGGTCCCCTACTCTTCCACTAACCCCAATCTGAGAAGGTATGACAATTGAGAAAGCTGTTTTGCCACAATTAGTAAAGACTTGTTGGCAGAGGAACGAACATGGACAATAACAGAGAGAAACAAGGAGAAACACTGAGCTCCTGCCTTAGGTCAGTCCTAATGCAAGAATCACTCTTGGATTTTTACTTAAGCCATTTTGGATCAGGTTTGCAACCAAAGGAGCCCTTGGTACACAAGCAGTCCTGTGACTCTCTCTCCTTTGGGCTATAGCACCAGATAAATTACCACATTTTCCCCAAAATAAGACCTAAGTGGAAAATAAAGCCAGCATGACTTTTTTTTTCAGGATGCTAATAATATAAGCCCTACCCCCCAAATAAGCCCCAGATAAGATCATCAGGCAGATGGACACATTTAATTTGTCCACTGAAACACTATGGCTGTGTTGAATTATAAAATAATATAAATAATATTACTGACATTAAGAATTAAATGATCAGGGCCAGGGATTTAGCTCAGTGGTTCTGCTGCCTGCCTGGCAAGTGCAAGGACCTGAGTTCGATCTCCAGTACCAAAAAAAAAAAAAAAAGACAAGTGAGCATATAAATTATAAATATTTGTAAACACCCAAGCAGGTGTATTTGGATGAGAGGTAAACACCTATGTAAACAGATGATTTCAAGATATATTCCTGAATGACCAGGATACAGACACAACACATGAATAATGTGCACGTTTGCTAATGAACAGGCGTGGTTGTGTCACATGTGAATCTTCATAGTTCAAAACATCATGTGTTGCAATGATGCCCTAGGACCAGGCTACAGGAACAAGAAGGGTTCGTTTTTGGACAGCTCCACTACCCATGAGATTGGGGCAAGTATTTCTACAGGAAATGGGAGTTGCAAGAAAGTCAGGCTGGAATTCAGGGTTTGGAGAGTTACAACCATGTTCTAGAATAAGGTGACATGACTGTGTTTGAACAAATAAATGGAGATGATTGTACATGGATACCTTGCCCTATGTAATTTGAGACTGTCATATTTGCAGGGGAATGCAGTAGCGTTTTATTCTGTCAGTTAGGTACTTACCAGCAGCAGCACTACATTCCCCCAAATGCACAGGGCCTTGTTGCTGTGAAAGGAAAATAGGCAGCCACGTCACTGGGAAAGAATGGAGATCCTGGGTCTTGTTGCATGGGTTGTACAATTTGTGGACCTCCCATTACTTTAAAATGAGGGGTAACAAGACAAAATGTCTCATACACAGAACTATCAGGGGTGTTTTGTGTCATTCCACAGGATACTTACTACACATTTATACATTAGGAACATTTATATATTAGGTAATACATTAGGACCTGGGGAGACAAGGTACAGACATGGTCCTTCGCCGCACAGGGTCTGCTCGGGCTTCTAGATCCCTTACCAGTCTTCTTTTTTTTGTACCAGGGATTGAAGTTGGGACCTTGCGCTTTCAAGGCAGGTGACAGCACTGCTGAGCTAAATCCCTGGCCCAATTTACACCTCTAGTAAACTACACTGTCAAGATCACAACTTCTAAAGTTAGTGGTATTTAAATTAAGGTGGGCTTCCTATTTAGCTTTATTTTCTGGGACGCCAAGGAAGACGACTTTGGAATTAGAGCCGGCTTTGAAGCATCTTTAATACCCTCTGGGCCAGGGATTGCTCAGTGGTTCTGCTGCCTGCCTTGCAAGTACAAGGTCCCAAGTTCCATCCCCAGTACCAGGAAAAAAAAAAAAAGACAAATGTATGGCCATATCACCCCTAACGTGCCCAATCTTATCTTTAATACCCCCTGGACTGAAATTAGTGAAAGCTTTTTAAGAGTGATATGGCAATATCTTTGAACATTACGGTGTGCATGTCCTGGGGCAGAAACAGTCACACAGAATAACAAAAGGGACTAGGAGTATAGCTCAGTGGTAAAGCATTTGCTTAGCATATAGGAGGCCCTGGATTCATCCTAACACTGCAATAATTATTATTGTAACAAAAATGCTTCAGGCCGGGGATGTAAAAACCTGGAATCAGCACTCATGTTAGGAATGAAAAACATATGTCTACAATGAAACAATGTCTGCAAAAACGTTAGGCATGCATGGGGAGGTATGACACCATTTATTATAGCCCCACTTTTGTAATAAAATCTTAGTAGGTACACAGCACACATGTTAGGAATGAAAAACATATGTCTACAATAAACAATGTCTGCAAAAACGTTAGGCGTGCATGGGGAGGTATGACACCATTTATTATAGCCCCACTTTTGTAATAAAATCTTAGTAGGTACAGGTGTGTTTGCTGATACCAGAGAGAAAGATCCAGAAGAACATACACCGAAGCATGGACAGTGGGCTGAGATTTCGGGGCACTTCTCATCTCAGTAGGACGTACTTGTATATTTTAGTAGGTTATGTAAAACAAAAAGAGAGAAGCCATTTTGTGACGCCAGGAGCCCGGCTCCAGTTCCCCGAGAACAAGACAAGCCTGTGTCCTGAGGGTCCCAGGAATGATGTCTAGTCTCACCTCCATCTCTCTCCTCTCCAGAATAAGTGCGCTGGGGTTTGCCCTCTTCTCCATGTCTTGCAGTTTGGTCAACTTTTCTATCAGGAACATCTTATCTTTGCCCTCCTGCCAAGAAGAAAACAAAACAAAAACATGAAGGAGGGGTGGTGGTGGGAGGATTAAGAAGCAATTGGAAAAAGAAGGACCCAGAAGTTGGATGGAGCTTGCTGTCATATTTTCTACTGATGAAAGAAAACACGCACGTACACACGTGCGCGCGCGCGCACACACACACACACACACACACACACACACCTGCAAAGTTAACAATTGCCCTGAGCCTTGTACACTGTAATAGGCTCTTGTAAAGCAACACCTCTGACAGGCTTGGGCAGTAGCCTGCTCTCGACTTGTGCTAGAAGCAACTTACATGCCACTATCTGAAGGCCTGAGACAAAGGGCTGTGGTGCCCCCTGACCCCACCCCGCTTGGCATGCTGCATGCTCCCTGCCCCAGAAGCCTGGTCTGCAAACCTAGGCTTGCCTGGCTCTGCCCTGTCCTCCTACTAGAAATGCCACATCTTAGAGCTTAGCTCCTAAGAACAACAAATGGGTTTCATTTGTCAACATTGTCTGTTGATGGAGATTAATAATGTAAAATTGGAGAAAGGGAGAAAGGAAAGGAGCCTGCCTCCCCGCTGGGAGGGTGTAACCCCTTTCCTGTAGCAGAAAAGGGTAGAATATTCCACGTGTGCTGTTGTGGGTGAGCAAGCGCTGTCAGCTCTCTGCCCAGTCTAGGCCAATGCTGGTCACCCCATTCCAGTGCCTCTGTTTCTCCTTAAACTTTTACCCTTTAATTTCAGTACCCGACAGTGGGGCTTGCTTGTCACAATGATTACTGTGAAGTTTGTTTCAAGACGATTTTCTCTCTGTCATTCTTTCTACATTTATTAACAGGAATTCTGTAAGGAAGAGCTGTCCTTGAGAATAGATTTTTTCACAATACCCCTAGGGTATGGTGGCAACACACCAGTGATTCCCTATACTCTGGGAGGTTTAGTTAGGAGGATTGCAAGTTTGAGCCCAACACCGGCACCTTAGTGCAATCCTATCTCAAAAAAAAAAGCTGGGGTTCAACTCGGTGCAGAGGCCCTGGGTTTAATCACCCAGGACTGAAAAACAAAACAAAACAAGCTGTCTTGGATGCAGCCAACGTATTTGGAAATTCCTGGTCTATAGGAGGGGAATTAGAATTACCAAGTGGGTGTACAAAAATGCAAACTTGTAGGCTTTCCCTCAACAGAATTTTACTCAGAGAGACACAACTGCATTGTAGTCAAGAGCACAGACTGTGGACTCTCCACAGAGGAAAAGCTGTGGAAAGCTTTGTGATGGGCGGGCTGGGCTAACAATCCTTGGAACCACGGATGGCTGCCCACACCGCAGAAGAAGAGGCATCATGTGTCTCGAGGTGATGTGGAATAGGGGCGTAGTGTCACTTGGGCTCAGCATCACTGAAGTACAACGGTCCCAGACTCAGGACAGTTCCCCTTGAGATTCTCTGGCTTTACAACAGAGTGCAAGGCATACAAATTCAGTAGACGCTATGCCTTCATTTTGGAACTCTGGTCTTTTCCCAGGCTATGTATACTTAGTACAAGCTCTGTCATGACGCTGAGCAGTGGCAACAAGCCGCACCTCACGGTCAGGTCAAGCTGCAGCTCATTTTCTGTTGAGACCACAACATACGCCGTGCATCAGTTGGCTACGGCTCATTTCCTGAGAAGCCGAGATGACGTGAGTCATCCTGGCAGTCACGTGGCTCAGTTCTAGTCAGTTCTGTGGACCAGTAATATGAACATAAATAACTGAGCTCTTCTTTGGGGAATCGATATTTATTTGCGCTAATTGCCACTAAGAAGGCAAGCTTTACCCCTCCAAAAAAGCTTTATACTGATAAAAAAAAAAAAAAAAAAAAAAAGGAAAGGGGCCGGGGATTTAGCTCGGGGGGCCCATCGGGGGCCTTTTAAGGGCAAGGCCCGGAGTTCCATCCAAAAAAAAAAAAAAAAAAAAAAAAAAAAAAAGTACAAATCCTAAGATTTTCTTTAAAATAATCTATAATAGAGATCTTCAGGAAAGAAATGGTGTAGATGAAGTAAGAGTACATAAAGTCGGTGGTTACTGGGGCTGAGTACAAGAGCCAGGGTAATTCACCGTGCTGTTCTCTCTATTTTGGAGTATCTTTGGAAAGTTCCACTATAAAGTGTTAGAAAGGAGGGGGAGGGTGACGGAGGAGCCCAACAGGACCTACGTTAATGATCTGTTCGTGGAGCAGCCTGATCATAACCTTCCTTCCCTCTGTGATCTGCCAGTAAAGATAGGTGATGATTCTGGAAGAGAAGAAAGAATGACAGATACTTTTGCCAGTGCTTTGAGGCTCCAAATTTTAATTAGTGTGCAAAAAAATTGGAATTTTTTTTTTTTGGTACCGGGGATTGAACTCGGGTCCTTACACTTGCAAAGCAGGTGAAGGAACCACTGAGCTAAATCCCCAGCCCTCAAATATGTTCCTGAAAAATCATAGCAGGGTGAGTTGCAGGTTAGAGAAATGGGTCTCAGCATGCACACAGAATCACATAGGAGGTGAAGTAAGATCCCTCCTGCACATCTCTGACCAGGGGGCCAGACATCAGTGTTTTATTTTTATTTATTTTATTTTATTTTTTGGTGGTTTCTTTTCTTTTTTTTTTTTTTGAGATAGGGTCTCACTATGTAGTTGAGATTGACCTGGAACTCACTATGTAGCCCAGGCTGGTCTCAAACTCACAGTGATCCTCCTGCCTCAACCTGCCAAGTGGTGGGATTACAGGCATGCGCCACCACACCCAGCTAGACATCAGTGTTTTAAAAATGCATATGATTCTAATATGCAGCTAAAGTTGTGAATGTGGACAGAGCCATTCAAACGTCAGGTGGTACTAGGCGGGTGGTGCACACCTGTAACCCCAGCACTCTGGAGGCAGGAGGATCGCTGCAAGTTCAAGGCCAGGCTGGGCTACATAGTGAGTTCATGGCCATCCTGAACTACACAGCAAGACCCTGTCTCAAAAACAAAACAAAACGAAAACACTTCAAGTGGCACACATTTCTTGGGAATTTGTTGATTTAACACTTGTGGGGGAAAGCCGGGGATTCTGCATTTCCAACAAGCTCGTACTATAACAAATAAATCAATATATTTCTTCTTTGTCCCTGGCACACAGCTACTGAAATTCTTGGAACCTCTAGAACGCCTTTCAAATGGGAATGCGACACAGGGTGGCTGGAGATCCCTAGGTGGCTTTAGGATAGGGCTAGTAACCAGAAAGTCCCAAAGCATGACTAAAGGTTGGACCTTTTAGTCCCCGCCCCTCATGACCACAGGGAGGACACAAAGGCTGGAAACTGAGTTAAACCCCAGCAGCCGATGATTGCGCCTACCCAGGAGTGGGCATGGAAGCTGCACACCACCCCTCCCTTCCCCCCGAGTTTCTGAGGCGCCCCTCTTACAGCACGATGAGAGTGAGGATGAAAAAGAAGTGCACACTGTCGATGAGGTTCTGATAGATCCAGACCACCCACATGTAGCCAGGCTTCCTACGCAGGGTGTCGATCCAAAGATAGATGGACTGAATGAAGAGAGGCAGGCCTCGGAAGGGGCCGCAATTAGCCGAAGGCTTCAATCTGGAAAAGCAAGGAACAGGAAAAATTCTCTGGCATGGGACTCAGATGTAGATCAAAAACCTGTGTGTGTGGTTTTGGGTGATACTGGGGAGTGAAGCCAGGGCCTTTGTACAAAGCAGCATCCGTCTTTTTATTTTTAAATTTTATTTATTTATTTTTGGAGACAGGGTCTCACTATGTAGTCCAGGCTGGCCTTGAAGTCACTCACTACATAGTCTATGTGGGCCTCAACCTCACAGCAATCCTCCTGCCTCAGCCTCCCAAGTGCTGGGATTACAGGCGTGTGCCAGCACACCTGATTTAATGTTTGTTTTGAGACAAGTTCTTACTAAATTCCTAAACTACCCACTCTAGGCTTGACCTTGCCATCCTCCTGTCTCAGCCTCCCAGAATGCTGAGATTATAGGCATGCACTGTGACATCCAGCATGGAAACAGCAGTTCTTGCCTGTGCTACCCACACTCCACCAAACGAAACCCTCTTTCTCACATCCCTGCTGGTGCGACCCTCCCATGGAGGTACCAACTAATCCAGCAGTGGCCAATCAAGAGGCCACGCGGTGACCTCTGCAGTATTTTGACTGGAGAAGTGAATGGGACGGTCTCTTTCTTGAGAACATGAACTAAGAAACATCAGCTAGCTATGGAGGCCAAAGTGTGGCAGGGTGACCGGGCAGTCAGTTGTGCTGGAGGGTTAGAAAGGAAGACGAGAGCAACGACGCTGCGAAAGAGCAGCCTGTCCCAAAGCTGCCCGGGTCTTGATGAGTCCAGTCCCGTGTGTACCCTCATCAGCTTCCTCTTTCATTCATTCATCTATCGAGGTTACTGCACTTCTCTCAGGAGAGGTTCTAGATCGGTCCTGGCAGACCTAATCCCGGCCCTCTTCAGCGCAGATTTTGGCAGGAAAGATGGGACAATTCATAAGCAGACAAAGAGACAAGGACTCACACAAAGCTATTTCTGTCTGTGAATAATGGGATGACGTAAGAAATGAGAGAGAGAGACGGAGAGAGAGAGAGGAGAGGACACGGGACTGAGGGCGGACAAGGACAGCAGAGGAGGTCAGATCTTGGAGACACCTCGGAGCTGCTGCAGCTGACAATCAGGGGGTGCGATGAAGGCAGCCAGGCAAATGGGGAGAGCACTTCCGAGAGGGGACCACGCCCAGGTGCGAGGGGCTAGCAGGGTCCTGCAGTAAGAGCTTTGGGGCTGCAGTGTGAGGGAGGCACAGGGAGGTAGAGCTGGAGAGTAGCAGGGAGCCAGGCCCGGGGGGGCCTTGGGGTTAACGAAAACAAAGGTCTGTTTTCATTGTGGAGAAACTGGCCCCTACCATCCCGAGAAACTTCAGGATATGAGCACCTGATGGACGGAATAAATTGAGTAGGATTTATCCCTTTCCTTGATTTTAGCATCTCTTGGTTACCAAGGCACGATGAGTTAAGCATTGTACAAACCAGGTTTTTTTGTTCTTTTGTTTTTTTAAATTCTAATGTTTTGACATCCAGGGTCTTGTTGACCCTGGGGAGATGGTCTTTCCCAGGGCCAGCCTGTAAAGTTATGTAGACCAGTAGTAAAATCAGCGCTTTCTTTATCAGGACCCCTGTTTCTCTGGGCCACTGTTCCCCTGCTCCAGTCTCCCCAAGGCCAGGTACCAGGCAACTTAGGACAGCCAAGCCCCCAGAGCCGGCTGAAATCATTCCACCGACCAAACCCTAAGCCTACCCACCCTGTCGTGCCTGTTCCTCACCCAGGAAATCAAATGAAGGCTCTTGCCCACACTTCCCCTCCTCTCTGCCTCCTGTCCAACACTGGTGCCTCCCTGGTGGCCCTGCATGGCAAGGTGTCCCCTGCCCTTGGGAACTGTGAGTAACAAACTATGATTCCAACAGTACTTGCCTCCTATCAGTTGGCCTTATCACACCTACATTTACCAAAACCCACATTTTAAACAAGGCCACCGTGTCCTACCTCCAGATGGTGATGGCCAGGGTGCACAGCACTCCGGTGAAGGAAGGGAAGAAGAGCAAGAAGATGAAGACTGTGATCATCTGGGAGGCCCGCCAGGCTTTGCTCGGAGGCTGGAAGTTCATCATCAGGCTGATCTGAGGAGAAAGACAGTCTCCTCCCATGTGTGGCCAGAAGAACACCCAGATGGAACCACCAGGTGCTGGCTTCCGGGGCCCTTCCCCATACCCCTCCAACTGCCACCAGGTCCCATGAGAATCAGAAGCTGACTGGTCCCAATTTGGGACTGACTCACGTTTTTTACATAAAACATGATGAACAGAGTAATCATTTGGATAAAGGGCAGCAGAGGGCAGAAGAAGATCCCAATCCTATGAGGAAAATGTAAGTGTCAGAGACCAGGGGAGACACGAGGACTCGGGACAGATGGGGGTGACAGAGGGAAGGGAGAGCTGGGAAAATTCTGTCCCCCTAAAGGTCGTAGGGTAAAGTCCTATCTCCTGGTTCTTCAGACTACAACTGTCTTTGGAGACAAGGTCTCTAAAGCAGTAATTAAGACAAATTAGGCTATTGTGGTGGACCCTAGTCCAACACGACTGGTGTCCCTAGAAGAAAAGATTAGGACATAATCCCATGAGGAATGATCATGTGAGGACCCAGGGAGGAGACAACTGCTGATCAGCCGAGGAGAGAGGTCTGGGACTGATCCTCCCTTCTCGGCTCTGAGAAGAAACCAACCCTGCAACACCCTGATCTTGGACTTCTGGCCTCCAGAACTGCTGAGACAAACTTCTGGGGCATACGTTGCCCAGACTGTGGTACGTTGTTCTGGCAGCCCCGGCAGATGAACGCACAGAGAAACTGCCTGCATCACAGCTGACCTATCCGGGTTCCCCCATCCCCAGTAGCCACAGCTGCTCCCCACGCAGCTCTGGAAGGGAGATTTTGCAGGGCCTCCCACACAGCCACCAAACCACCTCAGGCTTCAGTGTGCACTGAGGCATTATGGAAGGTCTGAGGCCCTGCAGGGACAGGCCGGAAAGAACCCCAAGTTACAAATGAGAAGGGCTTTACTTTCCAATTCTGTGATATTTCTGAGGGCCCAAGAGGAAAGTCTCAGTTTTGTGCTAAAATGGCTTGAACTCAACTCTTGCCAAATCCCCAGCTTTTCTAAAAAGTTTAAAGTCAAAACTGAGATCACTAATGGATAGCAGTATCTAGACAGAATTTAAGAACCGTGTAGGACAGGATTGCTTTTATTTTTTCAATTACTTGTGAATTGTTAAATGGTTACATTTATAATCATAAAATAAAGATTCCTTTAAAATGTATTTGAATAAAAAAATAAACAAGCTATCACAAAGAGTCAGCTGGGCACGGTGGTGCATGACTGTAATTCCAGCACTCTGGGAAGCTGAGGCAGGAGGATCACAAGTTTGAACCCAGCCTGGGCAAGTTAGTGACTTAAGTGAAACCCTGTCTCAAAATAGAAAAATTGAGAAAAAAAAGAACTGGGTATGCGGTATGCGGCTTAGTACAAAGGCACATAGGATAACAGTGGTTATAGTGTTCCCTCTTATAAAACATTTCTGAGTCAGGTACTCACTGAGCATTTTTTTTTCTTTTTAGTTTCTTCACTGAATATTTAAGTATGTATATTTTTTTTTCTTGTTTAATCTACTGTAAAAACCAGTGAAGTAGGCACTGTTATCTCGACCTTTTACCTTTCCCATAGGCATCCTGTTGGTTGACATAGTGCATAGGGGATCTTTTGAAACTGTCAAATTGCCAGTGGGTGACCTGAAAGTGTACAGATATATCACCTAAAAGACAAAGAAAAGCCCTCTCTATTTCTAAAATGGTCCATTGACATGAGTGAGTTATCTGCAGAGAGTCAGATTACCTGAGCAACTCCATTAAAAAGTCAGAAAACAGAAAATTTCCAGTTGCACGGTATGCTGGAATGCCAAAGCCATTTTGTCTACAATCACATTTAATCCTCAACACTACTTGTTGTTATCAACTACAGTTATTAACATGTGCATTTACCAGTGAGGAAACAGGCTCAGAGAAGCTCAGGGCCCACAGTGACCGGAACAGCTAACCCTAAAAGCTGGGTTATCCAAGCCTAACTACACTGCTCTCATTTGGCAGCTAGAACCTGGGCCTGTGAGGCACCACACAGAATTTTGGTATTAAGTTCTCCATGCTAAAATAAATAAGGAAAAGGACTCACTCGCTGGCTGTTGAATTCTAATTTGTAGATGAGGATATACACAAACATTGATGCAAAGGGTTGAGAATGTAGCTCAGTGGTAGAGCACTTAGCATACCCAAGATCCTAGAACCAAGTTTGGTCCCTAGCACATCAACAACAACAACAAC